AAAAAAAAAAAAAAAAAAAAAAAAAAAAAAAAAAAAAAAAAACGGAACATGGCTGCGGCGGGAGGCGCCGCCGCGGCGCCCGGCCCGGGCGGCCCCGCTCCCCGCCCCGCCGCGCCCTGAGCGCCCCCTCCCCCGCTTCCCCCGGGTCCCCCTCTCCAGGCAGGAAGATGTCCAAGCCCCGCGCGGTGGAGGCGGCGGCGGCGGCGGCGGCGGTGGCAGCGACGGCCCCGGGCCCGGAGATGGTGGAGCGGAGGGGCCCGGGGAGGCCCCGCACCAACGGGGTAAGCAGGCACCCTCCCCGCACTCGCTCGGCGCGCCCCGAAGGGCCGTGCGGCCGGGCGCCCCTGCCGACCCCGCTCCGAGAGCACGTGGGCGCCCCCGCGGCCCTGGGGCGGGGGTGCGGGCGGGGCGCCCGGCCGGGCAGCTTCCTTTTCTGCTGCCTGCCTGGGAGTGGCGTCCACACCCGCTCCGCCATGACCCTAGCAGTGTTTGACCTCGTAAAAGTTTGTGTCTTTATGACATTTCCAGGCCCCGAGACCCAGCCACCCCTGTGGTGGCCGCCTTCCCAGAGTGTGCGGGGCCTGCCCGGGGCCCTCGGGGAGGTCACAGGGTCTCGCTGACTTGGTGTTGAATGGCTCACCAGGCAGAAAGGCTCAGTAGGGTTTCTGGGAAGGCCCTCCTCCTGTCTGTGCTTACTCAGAGGAGAGGCCGCACACCCAGAGACACCAGCAGTGACCTGTCCGCCCCACCGGTCTGCCCACCGCAGTCGAGTAACCGCCCTAAATGCGACGTCTCTAGGCGTTTCTTCCTTTAGCTCTGCACCCCCCCAGTTAGCCCGAGAGAACTACCCCAACCGCAGCCCAGTCCCGCAGTCTGTGGAGGCTGCTGGGCTGCATGATTTGAGAGGGGCCAGGCTTGGGCACACAGAAGGCTCAGGCAGTAATGGCAGGTCCTGCCAGCTGACCTCAGGACTGAGAAGTGGTTGATCAGGTTCCCTGAGGCCCGCTTCTGTGCCAGAGTCCCTGCAGCTCCTGCCAGGGCAGTCGGCTCCTGCACTAGGCCAGCCCTTCCCATCCCGGCCTTGTTTACCCTGGTCCTTCTGACCTCCTTGCTACGGGTAGGTTGTTTCCTTCTTATATAGACCTTTGTGGACGGCTGGTTCTGCTGGCCAGATGTCCCCCCTTAGCGAATGGAATTAGAGACGGACTTGGACCTGGGGGATTCTGAACCTTCCACTGCTCTGCTGGGGCTGGAGTAGCCCAGTTTTTGAGAGATGTTGTCTATTTTTTGTCTTTTGTATTCTGATTGCCCCCTTGGCTGCCTAAATCTTGTGGGATCTTCTTCTTCAAGCCTCTTTCAGAATATGCATTTGTCGTTTTAGGAGAATGTATTTACCGGGCAATCAAAGATCTATACCTACATGAGCCCGAACAAATGCTCTGGAATGCGTTCCCCCCTTCAGGAAGAGAACTCAGTTGCACATCACGAAGTCAAATGCCAGGGGAAGCCGTTAGCCGGAATCTACAGGAAACGCGACGGTAAGCCTCTGAAATGGCCCTGTTCTGACCATAGCTGGCCGGCTCGCATCCTGCAGAATAATGTAAATGTGCTAAATTTTTATCCAGCCTTTTCAAGCCAAAGTTCAAGAGGGTTGAACCATGTTTGGTCTTGCTGCTGGGAAACACAGACAAGGGGGAAAGAGCTGCCTGTTCCAGGGCGTGTGCCCTGTTGGTCTGACAGGTTCTCCCTGCTTTCACAAGAGTTAGCGTGTCCTTCAGGCTTGATTATCTTGCCAAGTTGCAACAATATGGCACCTGGCCAGTTGTTAGAGAGGCTCACAGGTGCTAAAAGTACAGAAATTATGAGTCTAGGTTGTCCGGACCAGGCTCTTGCACTCCCGCTGAGTCGTGTGAACCTAAGGAACTGATTTCCTTCCCTTTTATGAGGTGGCCTTGACCTCAGTTCTAAAGTTTCTTTCTACTCAAGTGTTCAGTGCTAGTCTCTGGAGCATCATACTCTGGAATGAGATTTGGGGTTAAAATATTGAGCAAGAAAATTAATGGTTATTGAAAATTCTGTCTGGCCCTGCAAAACACGCTGAGACCTCTTACACATCTTGTTCTAACCCAAATATTTCCTTTTAAAGCTGAGGGCGGGGCGGGGGCGCCGGTGCACGTGAGCTTTCCCCAATTCACCGTGCTCCTTTCTGATTAAACCTTGCCTTAGAGAAGCAAAACTCTGGCTATCAGCAGCTCCGTACCAGGAAGCTTTGTATTCGTTAACAGAAAGTGCCGTAAGAGATGGGGTGGCCCAACCTCTGGGCCAGATCTGAGGCCCCGTGAAGGGATGGGGTGGCCCAACCTCTGGGCCAGATCTGAGACCCCGTAAGGGATGGGGTAGCCCAACCTCTGGGCCAGATCTGAGGCCCCGTAAGAGATGGGGTAGCCCAACCTCTGGGCCAGATCTGAGACCCAGGGGCAGGAGCCGGCCCTCTGCCTGATTCCCCCTGGGACATAGGGTGATGTTACTTCATATGACTTAAAGGTTCCAATCCTAGCTCTGCCATTGATCAAAGGAAGGGACGTGGGCAATTTGCTACTCTTTTCTGAGCCTCCGTTCTCTCTGTACAGTGGGAGAGAGAGGAGTCCTACAGGACCATTCTGAAGGTCAGTTAAAGAGCAGGTGCAGATGGGCTTTGTGAGGGAATTCCCTGGTGGCCCAGTAGTTAGGACTTGGCTCTTTCACTGCCCTGGACCCCAGGTTCAGTCCCCGTTCGGGGGAATTAAGATCTCAAAAGCCGTGCAGTGCGGCCAAAAAAAAGGAGTGGGGGGCGGCTTTGTGAGCGCTCCATACGTCAGCCTGTTCTCCACTGGGCTGCGAGCATCACGGCCTGCCCCTCCCCGCAGTTCAGCGTAGGCAGCACTCAGAACAGCACTCACCACACTGGGTTGGGGAAGGGGCTCTTTTGAGATGGCACTCAGCCAGTCTCACGTCCCCTCTGGAACGGGGCAGGATGTAGATTGTCCTAAATGGGGACACGGGGCACAAGCTAGCTGATTTGACTCGTAGTGTTATTACGTGGCGACAGTCAGAATTGGGTGCTGGAGGAGCATTGGAGGAGACCCCAACGTCCAGGTTCTTGTCCATGATTCTAGACCCTTTTCCTGCCTTGATGCAGACTCAACATGACTGCTGATGTTCACGAGCACCACACACTTGTAGGGTTACGCCTGACGCCTTACCTCCACCCAGGAGGGCGTACAAGGAGCCAGAATGGTCTGGATGGGTGCTCATGTATTTATTTTTCTCTTTTGTTTATTGAGATATAATTCTGATATCCTGAAGTTCACCATTTTAAAGGGTACGATTCAGTGGTTTTTAGCATATTCACAGATATGTGCGACTATCACCTCTGTTAAACTCCAGTACATTTTCATCACCTCAAAAAGAAAACCTGTACCTATTCACAGTCGCTCCCCATTCCTCCCTTCCCCCAGCCCCAGGCAGCCCCTAATTTATATCCTGTCTCTATGGATTTGCCTATTCCGGACATTTCATATAAATGGAATCATCTAATACGTGGCCTTTTGTGTCTGGCCTCTTTGACTCATTATAATGTTTTCAGGGTTCATCCATGTTGTAGCCTGTGTCAGTACGTCGTTCCTTTCTGTGGCTGAATAATATTCCATCCTGCAGATGTACCACATTTTCTTGACCCATTCATCATTTGATGGACGTTCAGGTTGTTTCCATTTTTTGACTATTAATAAGCTGCTGCAGACGTTCATATATAGGTTTTTGTGTAGACATCTGCTTTTAATTCTCTTGATAGATTCCTAGAACTAGAATTGCTGGGTCATATGGTAACTCTATGTTTAACATTTTGGAGAACTGCCAAATTCTTTTCCAAAGTGACTGCACCATCTTACATTCCCACCAGCAATGTATTATTTAATTATCTGTTAAAAGTAAAATCTCTTGAAAAAAAATAGTCCAACACTGGTGCTCCACAACTATTTTTAGTAACAAGTCATTGGCGACGTCCCTCAACAACACACTGACTGGTGTCGGGGCACCGTGCTGGGAACCACTGTGAACACTGGGCTTCGACCCTGTTAGAACAGGGAATTTAAAAAAAAAAAAAAAAGAAAACGAGTCTGAAATGAATCACTCCAGGCAGCTAGCTCTTGGGGAAGAGGTCTTTGCTGGGGAGAGGTTCTGCTTTATTGCCTTACTCCTGTCCACCAACACTGGCCCACCCTTTAGGAATTTAGCTTTTTTCCCTGGGGTCTGCAGCCCATTTCCTGAAAAGCCATTGGTCGAGCCCTCACGCCAGTGTTGCTGGCCGTGGTGCTTCTGCTTCAAGGGCTCTTTCAAGATGCAGAAGGCCCGATGTGTTGATTAATTAGATGAGAGGGATCCACTCACAATGTATATGTTGACTCATCATGGTGTAACATTTCAAATATCTTATAATTGTATTTCTCAATTATACCTCAACAAAGCTAGAAAAAGAAAAAAAAGATGCAGAAGACCAAAAGCTGCACCCAGTGTCTGGGTCAAAAAGTAAAGCCAGACGCTTTGCCCAAGATACTGGTTAGTGGACACCAGGCTTAACAGCCCAAGGGCACGGCTGCCCAACACGCCCCATCCCTCTCTTCTCTCCAAGCCTGTCTTAGCATGCGGCTGAGGGCTGGAAAGTGGGAGCCGGTGGGTCCAGAGTCAGCCTGTCTCCCCCCACCCTCTGCCCACAGAGAAAAGAAACTCTGGGAATGCAATACGAAGCTCCATGAAGGCCGAGGAACAGAAGATCAAAGACGCCAGGAGAGGTCCCCTGGCCCCTTTTCCAAACCAAAAATCTGAAGCAACAGAACCTCCCAAAACCCCGACCTCGTCTTGTGATTCTCCCAATGCAGCTGCCGCCAAGCAAGCCCTGAAAAAGCCCGTCAGGGCCAAACAGGCTCCCAGGAAAAAGTAAGCGCCCCCTGGAGGCCACCCCTAACACAGGGCAGCCTGCCCAGTGCCGGCAGGGGTGAGGCTGCCCACCCTCTCAGCCCCTTGAGCCGTCAAGGCTCAGATTCCTGAGTCACCACCGGGGACACCACTGTTTGTCAGCATCTTGGTCTGTCACGGGTCCAGAGCTCAGGAGCCCGCTCCCCGCCGAGAGTAGGCAGCCTGTCTTTGACACTCTCTGAGGCCCCCGTGGGCAGGTGAGCCTGAGTGACCCTGGGCCACGGTGGACAGAGGTGTTGAAGTGACATGGCTTCCAAGGAGCCTGCTGCTCGGGGGTTGTGTGCCTCCTGGACGTGAATGCGGTCTCGGTGCTAATACTTGTTTTCTCCTCTTCCTTTCTCACCCCAGAGCTCAAGGAAAAACGCAGCAGAATCGTAAGCTCACAGATTTCTACCCTGTTCGAAGGAGCTCCAGGAAGAGCAAAGCTGAGCTGCAGGTAGAGTCCCGTGGTTTTGATTCCGGCTCTCGGAAGGGGCAGGGCATCCCAGTGGGCGGTGCTTGCCGTGCACAGCCTGAGCTCGCTTTGTATCATCTTGGGATAAGTCTCTTGGCCTCCATGGCCTCGATATTCTCCTTGGTCTAGTGGGGGCCGTCATAACTCTCTGGGTCACCATGAAGCTTAGTTACGATGCCTCTGTGAAGGAGCCTTGTCGCCTGTAGCACGTGGCCTGGAAAGTCAGGACTTACCATGAAAGTGGCTTTGGCAGGGCCGTTGGAGCCTAGGAACATGAAGGCTGCATGCTCTTGGGAGGCTTGTTTTTCTGCTGTCCAGAAGTTTCATGTCTCGAGGTGGTGAAGAGCAGTGGCTTGGGAACCACTTCCTGGTCGTATGACGTCGGGCCAGTTACTTAACCGCTCTGTGCCTCTCTGTCCTGTCTGTAAAATGGGATAATAAAGTAGTACCGTGTGCGGTTGTTGGGAGGGCTGCATTCTTAAGTTAATGCACGTAGAACACTTAGAACCATGCCTGGTATGCACTGAGCACCTGTTAACTATCGTCACTTGCTTCCCCCGTGTTGTCCCTTCCCGGGGCCCCTCTCTGCTCTTTCCCACCCAGCCACTGTCCCTCAGAACGTGCGAAAACCAGGCAGGAAGGCTGACTGGGCTGTGAGGCCCCTGCCTGCCGTGTTTGCAGAGTGCTGAGCTGTGCACAGGCGATCAATATTTGATGCAGTGAGGTGTGGTTATTGCCTTTCTGTTAGGGAAACCCAGGGTGTGGCCGGGCCGTGCAGCCCCCGGCTGCTTCTGTCCACCCTCCCACCCCGGGAGCGGCAGAATAACCCGCAGGCTTGGGAGTAGCACTCAGGATTGCCCCCCACGAGGGAGGTGGGGGCCTGGCCTTTCAACCGGAACAGACCCCTTCAGCCTTTTGATGTGAGAGCTGTGGCTGTACAGATGGTGATCTAGCCTCTCTCCACCCCCCCACCTCTGAACTGGCAGGACTTCCTTTAAAAAGGTGGGGAGGTCCATCTTTCCCCCTAGAGAGAAGCTTTGGCTTTATTTCCTTAGAAAGGCAGCGTCTTTCAGCCAAGAACAAGCTGTTGCAAGCTGTTTGCCTGCAGCGGGAGGCAGTGTGAGGTCATCGTAGAGACGGCACTGCAGAGGGTGAGGCGGTGCCCAGCCCCGCTCAGAGCCGCCGCGCCCGCACGGAGAGGCTGGGGCTCCACCAGGCGCCGCTCTGGGCTGTGGGGCGGGGCGGGCAGCTGAGTTGGCCTTTTTAATTAAAAACAACAACAACGGGGCTCTCTGTCGGGGCAGTGGAGGCTGCAGTAGGGTGCGCCGCAGGTCTGCCGGACCCTGCAGCAGGCGGGCGGCAAGCAGCAGGCGGCACAGTAAAGCTCACGCTGTCCCTGGACGCAGAGCCAGTGGCGAGGGAGAGACACGCTGTGCCCGCCGCCGTTTGTGTTGGCTCTGCCGCACGCGCACCGCGGCCAGGTGGTCACCGGCCAGGACGGCGAGGCAGCTGTCGGCCAGGCTGCTGGGCTGCGGCTGCCAGGGCGGCGGCAGCTCTTGACCGCAAAGTGAAGCCCGAGGGCGGGGCAGCTGGGCCTCGTCTCAGGGGTGAGGTCAGGCCTGACCTGCCTGCCCTCCGGGGCTGGCCGAAACCGAGGCCCGGGGCTGGGTGTGGGCAGCGGGGGTGAGATGGACAAAGAGCTCCGCAGACAACACCTTGCTCCCTTCCCGCCCACTCAGGCCCTGGGTCCCCCGTGGGCTGCTGCCGGAATCCTCTTTAGGACGCTCAGAGCTGGCTGATCACATGCCCAAACCCCGAGCCTCCAGAGTGAAACTCAGGGCCGTGCATTCAGGGCCTCCACGGCCCCGGCTCTCCTCAGCTTGTCTCCTCTGCCTTGTTCTGTCACGGCAGGAAAGTCCCCCGTCGCCTATCTCAGTTCTCCCACGATTACTCCCATTTATCTCTGCACACTTGTAACTGATTCATCATTTAACAAGGTAGCTGTGTGTGTGCACGTGGGGTGGCGGGGGGCCGTTGTTGCTTTGAGGGCTTACTGTGTGCCAGGCACTGTTCTAGGCCAGAAGATTCCGCAGTGAGCAGGCGGTGGGCACACGCACCCCGTCTAAAGGGCGCAGCCTCTGAACAGCCCTGGCTGCTGTCGTATGAAGTCAGAGTCCTGAGTTTTAAATGTCAGCAATTTTGCTATTTTCTAGACGTCTGCATGGGCCAAACAGAACATAGCCACAAGCCCGATTCTGCCCTTGGGGCCACCACTGTCTCCCTCTTGGCCTCTTTAAACCCCGGGTGGCGACGGTCCGCCTCAGACGGGCATTGAGGAAAGGATGGGGGCTTGGGGGCTTGGGCATCCTTTGGGACCAGTGCCCTGGAGGCCAACTGCAAGTGACCTGCGGGCGGCCGGGGCTCCTGGAATGGCCTCGGAGAGAATGCTGACGCACGTCTCATTTTTTCTTTCCTCCCCACCCAGTCTGAAGAAAGGAAAAGAATAGACGAATTGATTGAAAGTGGGAAAGAAGAAGGAATGAAGGTAAGGGGCCGCAGGGCCCACTCGTGGAAGTTAAGGCTGTGAAGTCGCACCTTCCCTGGTGCAGAGGCTCACATAGGAGCTGCGCTGCTTCAACCCTCTGATGGTCACTGTGACCAGGCGGGCTGTTACAGGTTGTCCAGGGACCAAATGCTAAAAGTGTCGTTAAAGGGAAGGCCTCACGAAGGAAACATGAGATGTCACCCTGAGGAAACTTTTTAAAAATTATGATGAAATACATGCAACATAAAATTTACCATTGTAACCATTTTTAAGTGTACAGTTAAGTACATCCTACAGTCACAGTTGTGCGATCATCATCTCTGTCGAGTTCCAGAACTTTTTCATCCTCCCAAACGGAAACCCCGAACCCATCTGCACTCACTCGCGTTTCCTGCCCTCAGCCCCTGACAGCTACCAGTCTGCTTGCTGTCTCTGTGGGTTTGCCTGTTCTGCACACTTCATACAAATGGAATCATAGAATGTGTAGCCTGTTTTATCTGGCTTCTTTCATTTAGCATGACGCATAGGGAAACTTTTAAAAGGACAAACTGATCAGATTTTTCTAGACTGTTTTCCTGGGAAATGGCAATGCCCAGGAGATTTGCTTTTCTCTTCATATATTTCAGACACACTGGGTGGATGAGAGGGGAGCAAGTCTCCATAGTGGTGGCCAGATGGCCCTGGACTAGGACCCAGGGGTTGGAAAGCTTCAGTTTCCACCCACCATTGAGGGGGATCTGAAAATTTTTTTTTTTTTTTGCCCACACTGCACGGCTTGCGGGATCTTAGTTCCCTGACCAGGGATCGAACCTGTGCCCCGTGCATTGGAAGCTCAGAGTCCTAATCACTGGACCGCCAGGGAATCCCCTGGGGCAGGGGCCCCCAACCCCTGGGCTGCATGACCAATACCGGTCCCCGGCCTGTTAGGAGCCGGGCCGCACAGCAGGAGGTGAGCAGCGGGCGGGCGGGCGAAGCCGCATCCCCGCTACCCATCGCTCGCATCACCTCCTGAACGTCCCCACCCCCGTCCATGGAAAAATTCTCTTTCACGAAACCCGTCCCCAGTGCCAAAAAGGATGGGGACCGCTGCCCTAGGGGGGATCTGAATTTAAGTCTGGACCCCTCAAGCAATCACCCACCATCTCCAGAAAATGGAGTGAGGAGAAACCCAGGAGGGTTAATTATGGGATAAAGGAGAGACTCAGAACACTGGGTCCTACTACTCCCCCGAAGAGGCCAGGACGTGGATTTGAGTCTGTGCTACACGGCTTCCTAGCTTTGTGGCCGTGGACGCAACTCTGCCTCTCTAATCCCGTTTTCTCACCTGCAAAATGGGGCAGCACCCACCTAGCAGATCTCTCAGGATCTGGCGTAACAAGGCTCTGCAGATGGGCACGAGGGAACTCTGGGGCGATGGATTGTGGCAATAGTTGCACAACTGTATATGTTGACTAATACCCATCAGACTGTACATGTGAAATGAGTGAATTTTATGGCCTGCCGCAGTAAAGCTGTTCCAAGAACGCGGTGCAAGCCTCCCGCCCCCGGAAGCCGGCGCTGCACTGTGGCGTTTGTTGCTGTTATGAACCAACCCTCCCTCTTGGCACCACCCAACAGATTGACCTCATTGACGGCAAAGGCAGGGGCGTGATTGCCACCAAGCAGTTCTCCCGGGGCGAGTTTGTGGTGGAATACCACGGGGACCTCATCGAGATCACCGACGCCAAGAAGCGGGAGGCTCTGTACGCGCAAGACCCCTCCACGGGCTGCTACATGTACTATTTTCAGTATCTGAGCAAAACCTACTGGTAAGTCCCCTAGTGCTTCGAGTGGCTCTTCCCCGCCCCGGCAGAGGTCCAGCCAGAGGGCCACCGAGGGCATCCTGACTCTCCTGCAACAGCTTCTTGTTTAGTTCTTGCTACCTTTTTTCAAAGCTGTGATGCAGCTCCCCCACTCCCCCACTTCCCATGTTTAATTTTGGGGATCGGAGCGGTTCTGGATGCCATCTCGTGGGACAAGACGTAGACCAGTCTCATGAAAGCCTGCGTAGGGGCTCACCTGGCCTCTCCTCTGGGACCCGTGGCCAGAACAGCTCTGGGAATTGCTGACTTCTCTGTCCCCAGTGTGGCAGTGTCATTGATTGCTTTTTCTTTAATAGACTGTACTTTTTAGAGCAGTTTTAGGTTCCCGGCAAAACTGAGTGGAAAGTACAGAGCGTTCCCATGTACTGCCTGCCTCCACACCCGCACGGCCTCCCCCCACTGTCAACATAGTTGATTTTTATTCACTTATTTATTATGCAGAACTTCCACAAAGAGCCTTTTGCATTCCCGTCTAGGCCTGCCCCCTGCCTCAGATCCCCCACACCGAGCGCCTCTCTGGGCTCTTAAAGATATTTTTTTTGAGTTACTTCGCTTTCCCAAAAACGTGGCCCTAAATAACCGTCCCACCAGAGCTGAGAGCAAGCATGACTCTGACTGGGTTCAGAACCCTCTTTATCAATTTAATCCTCTGCCGCCCTCCCTCCCCACCAGCGTGGATGCAACCAGAGAGACAAATCGCCTGGGAAGACTGATCAACCACAGTAAATGTGGGAACTGCCAAACCAAACTGCACGACATCGACGGCGTGCCTCACCTCATCCTCATTGCCTCTCGCGACATCGAGGCTGGGGAGGAGCTCCTGTATGACTATGGGGACCGCAGCCGGGCTTCCATCGAAGCCCACCCCTGGCTGAAGCATTAACCCCACGGCCCCACCCCTCCCCCCTCCCTTCTTCAATGGACAAAGTGCCCTCAAAGGGAATTGACTTTTTTTTTTTTTACACATTTAATCTTAGCAGATTCCTTCAGATGTTTTTAAAAAAGTATATTAAGATGCCTTTTCACTGTAGTATTTAAATATCTGTTACAGGTTTCCAAGGTGGACTTGAACAGATGGCCTTATATTACCAAAACTTTTATATTCTGGTTGTTTTTGTACCTTTTTTGCATACAAGTCAAACGTTTGTGCTTCCCGTGCATGCAGTCAAAGACTCAGCACAGGTTTTAGAGGAAAGAGTCGAACACGAACTAGGAAGCTGGGCGATGCGCCTTCGTCCACCTGAGGAGCCGGGACTCTCTCCCCTCCTCAGCCCTGACGTCCCAGTGCCAGGCGGGCGCGAGGAAGAGCTGCCTCCCCACGGCCTGGACGGGATGTTCCCAAGCTCTTGTTTTCCTGACATCTCGACAGGCGCACATGGAAGTGTATGAATATTTTTTAAAAAGGTTTCACAGTAAGATAGTCTTCCCCTCTGCTTTCTCGAAAGCTTACTGACCCGGTGGCTCACGGGCCGGGCCTAGATTTACTCTTCCACGGGCTGCCGCTTTTCTGGGCACCTCGAAGCATCAGGGCGGGGAATCAAAGCAGATGTGGGCAGGAACAAGCACTGCTTACCTAGCCCTGCCGGGCAGGGGTTCCCGAAACTGGGTTAATTTCTTTATAGAAATGTGAACACTGAGCTTATTTTAAAAAAAAAAATAAAAATCAAAAAACAAAAAAGAAAAAAAAGAAACCACAGAAGACAACTTACATGTATATAGGTCTTGAAGTGAGTGACGTGGCTGCGTTTTTGTTTGGGTTTTTTTTTTTTAGTTTGGCTTTTTTTCTCCCCCTTGGTTTTGTTTCTGTAGAAGAGATTTGAGATGGTACACTATTCTAATCAAAAATAAAGTTTTGTAGTGCGACCAGAAATTACTTACCCAATTCCCCACCTCCCCACCCCCGCCCCAACCTGATTCTGCTGGGTTGAAAGTTCCAGACCTGCTGTCAAGGCTTTTGTTTGTCAGACCCCCTGGTGTCCTTCCTGTGAAGATGCAGCCGTGAACCAAAGGGTGAGCCTACAAGCCCCGAAATGCAGGGTCCCCAGCCCAGCTGCTGGAGTGCAGGGGAGCGGGCGGGCCCAGCGGCCCAGGGATCATGGCTAAGGGTAAAGTTTTCACCTCGACTGTGACAGCAGGAAGAGCAGCAGGTAGCTTCCTCCCAAAGGGAAACCGATTCCCACTTTCTGTTAACCTGTAGTTCAGGGGCCTGGGGCTCTGGAGCCGTGACGTGGGGTCTCCTGGCCCCCTGCTCCCAGGTAAATGTGAATGGAGACAGGCATGAGAGCCTGTCCTCAGCTTCAGTGCCCCTGTCCCGGTCTCACGACGGTGCTACCTAAGAAAGTCTTCCCCCCACCCCACACTTGCCTGGTCAGTGGTCAGTGAATTGGAGGAGGATCTGATGGGAGTGTGTAAATGTGAGATAAAATGTCTTGGTTGTACCTGTTTGTGGTTTAGCTTTGTATTTAAAAAAAAAAAAAAGGAAATAAACTTGAAAATTATTTGTCATCATAAAAATGAAATGAAAATTAAAATATTTATTGCCAGGCGAGGCTACGTGTGTCATTCTGGTTTTTTGTGTTTTTTGTTTGTTTGTTTTTTACAAGGCAGAGGCAGAAGAAAGGTTGCATTTTTTTGGTTTTGTTTTGTTCTTTGTTTCGGCCACACTGCACGGCTTGTGGGATCTTAGTTCCCCAACCAGGGATTGAACCCTGGCCCTCGGCAGTAAGAGCACGGAGTCCTAACCGCTGGACTGCCAGGGAATTCCCGTTTTATTTTACAAAGGGCCACACACCAGTGTGAATCAGTTTTGGTGACTGTCCTCCTAGGGGACAGTCTCTTCATTTTTATCATGAGGGGGGGGTCAGAGGTTGCTTGTGGAGATTAAAAGTTAAACATGTTGCCCCCTTAGAACAATGCCTGGCAAGTAGCATACATTTTAGCTGTTGTAACTGTCATTGTTGTTTCTAACGTGCTAGAGTTGATTCTCAGGTAGGCGTCTCAATGGTGCTGGAAGTCGTCGTGTCCCCCGCTCCGCCGCCAGCCCAGATCGCCATCCCCACCGCACACGCCACCACCCGCCCCGAGAGGCTTAGTTCCCTCAGCCCCAGGCACTAGAGGCAGGTTGGGATGGTGGGTAGAGTCCTTGGTTTACAGGTGGAAGAGCCATTCCCGGCATCGATCGGCTCTAAGCATTTGTCAGCTGTCACCCTGAACAAATCACTTACCCTCTGAAATTTGTCCATCAGGTTCAGAACAGCCTCTGCCCACCTGCCTTGCAGGGGTTTCCGCAGGATTCAGTCGTCACGTATTACTGCCTCCTCACGTTGGAGGGGAAGTGTGGCCTGGTGGCCAAGTGCTCGGCCCTGGAACAGAACCTCAGGTTCCAGCCACTTAGCAGCTGTATAACCTTGGGCGGGTTACCTAACCGCCCTGCGTGCCACTTTCCTCCCTGGTGACACGAAGATGACACTGGTGCTTGTGTCGGGGTGATGGTGAGGATTGGATGAGTTTGAGACATAAAAAGTACTTGCACATAGATGATCCTCAGTAATCAATGTTAGCTGTTATTAGGATGAAAATTGTGGGTGGTTTTCTATCATTCCCTGTTTACAAGTGCCCAGGACTGATAGATACTGCCTCTAAGCCTGCTCCTCCTGGGGCTGGGTTTGGAGTTGGAAGCCTGCAGTGTGGGAGCGGCCGTGTCTCTGCTGTCTGTGGTCACACTGGGCCCGGCTCCAAGAACTTAGCTTCTGGCGCTCCAACGGCCACACCCCAGCGTCTGCGGTTCTGAAGTCAGGATGCTCGGGTTCGTTTCCCAAGTCAGCTCTCACCTCCAAGGTGCAGAAATCCTCCTCCCTCCCTGCTGTTAAGAGGGCAGCAACCAGTCAGGGTTGCAGCGTTACAGGAATCAGGACCCCCCCGATCTAAGATGCTGCTGAGATGGCATTCTGGATCAGACATTTGAACATTGCCGACTCTTCTTGGGAGGCAGAGTGGTCTTGGCCTTGGCACCTGGGTTCAAGTCCCACTTTTATCACTTTCCAGCTGGGGCCTTAGACAAGCCCCTTAGCCCCACTGTGCTGGCACGTGCTTGGGTGAACCACGGGAATAATAGTAACGCCCATCCCATAGGGATAAGGTGAGGCAACATATATAGGTGTGGGCAAGGCATATAGTAAATTGCACTCATTATTAATATTTGCACTTTTTGGAGAATAGGGTACATAGAGCGTCACAGATAAGAACCGAGGCCTTAGAATCAGGCCTCCGTGTGCATTCTGGGCAGTAACTTCCCAGCTACGTGACCTCGTGTGAAGTACTCTAACCTCTTGGGGTCTTGGTTTCCAAATCTGTAAACTGGACGATTAGTATTAGTCCCCATCTCCTCAGATGTTATAGGAATAAATGAGATAATCCAGGCAGCAGGGAAACACGTTCAGTAAGCCAGTGTTATTCACTAAGAAGACAGGCTCATAGGGTGAGTTCAGCAGGCTCATTAGTTTCTTTGCAAAGTATAGTCTCCCGCTATCTACAGACTGTATTTCATTGATTCCTAAATGCACTTATTTTTTTCCACATTTTAACATTGCTGAAATCAGGATGAGCCTTAAAATCAATAGCATCTTAATGTTATAATTTGTAGCATTTTTCCTGTCATAGCAACACACAAAATAATGGTGCCTCACTTAGATTCAATGAGATGTATGTGCACCATATATATATGTAGGTAGGTATACATACGTTATACATGTATATATACGTGTGTGTGTGTGTATTTGACTCTTGAACAATGCAGAGAATTATGGACACCCACCCTCTCCACAGTCGAAAAATCCACATACAGCTTATAGTCAGCCCTCCCTATTCGAGTTTCCTCCGTATACGCAGATTCAACCAAGTGCAGGTCGTGCGGTACTACAGTGTTTACTATTGAAAAAGGATCTGTGTGTGAGTGGACCTTCGCAGTTCAATCTGTGTTATTCAAGGGTCAACTGTATACAGTTCACAGATTTGGAAACCAAGACTCCAAAAAGCTGAAGTAACTTACACAAGGTCACGTCACTCTAAGAGGCCACTCTAAAACACAGAAAGTGTAAAAGTCATTTTACTTTAATTAAAAAATCATGTAAAGAAAGTCACATTAGCAAAACCAAATAGTCACCAAATATCAGTGAAGTCATCACTGCAAAGTCCGTACCAGATGGTCCTGCATCCTCTTCTCCCCCCCCCGCCCCCGATTTGGGCTGGTGTATTTTGCAGCTACGCAGTAAAGACCTGGGTCGTTTGTGAGCCCTGAGAAGCAGAAAGCACATCCGCACGCTGGGGGCCTCTTGGGGGGTTGAAGTGGGGCTGCAGGTGGCCCCATTTCGCTTTCCTTCTGCTTTCTCGGTTTCTTTGTGCCGCTTCACTCGCCCTGGCCCAGCCTTCGGGGGTGTTCAATTCTGCAGCCGGGGAGAAAACCTCATCCGTTCCTCCTCAGACGGCTTTGAGGGGAAACAAAGGAGCAAGTGCAGTGGGTACGCACTGGCACTGAGAGATGATTTTTGAAGTCGTCTTCTGAGAACTGAGCCATGGTCCCAGATCTATGTCTGCTTCCCTGATCGGAAAGAGAACCTGGGTGGAGAGAGAGAGGGGTCAGAGGAAACAGAGCGAGTTCTGAAGTGGGAGGTGCAGAACCTCCTGCAAAATCTGTAAGCAGCTCCTGCAGGCCATTTCCTCGGGGCTCATTATGGGACAGGCACTGTTCCAGGGCTTTCCATCTACTAGCTCATTTCAAACTCATAACATGAGGAGGTGAGTACAATCAATACCCCCATTTTATAGATGAGCAAACTGAGGTTATGGGAGGTTAAGTAACAGGCCCAAGGTCACACAGCATATCTTGGAACCACTGGGACTTGGGCCCAGAGCCCACATAACTACTGTGCTAGACTGACAGATGGAGTCTGGAACCTTCTTTTTTTTTAATTTCTGATTTTAAGTGGTTTTTATTGTAGAGGAAGTGATAACTTCTCAATGGTACCTACAATTATAAAATAGATATTTGCAATGAATAAAGAGTAACATGTAAGTTCTTGGATATAACAGATAAAACATATAAAGATATCCCCTGAGGCATGAGTAACAAACTTTCAGTCCCCCTCATGCAAAGTTTTGAAAAGGAAGAATGACATCTGGGGGCTTCCCTGGTGGCGCAGTAGATAAGAATCTGCCTGCCAACGCAGGGGACACAGGTTCTGTCCCTGGTCGGGGAAGATTCCACATGCCTCGGAGCAACTAAGCCTGTGCGCCACAACTACTGAGCCCGCGTGCCACAGCTACTGAAGCCCGCGCGCCTAGAGCCCGTGCTCCGCAACAAGAGCAGCCACCGCAATGAGAAGCCCACACACCGCAATGAAGAGTAGCCCCTGCTCGCCGCAACTAGAGAAAAGCCCGCGCTGCAACGAAGAGCCAGTGCAGCCAAAAATAAATAAATAAAATTTTAAAAACAGAATGACATCTGGGGTTGATCAAAGTACAGTGACACAAAGTACAGTGTCAATGCTATTTCCAGTTGTAGGAAAGATGGCTGGTGGGCTGAAAAGTCAGTGATGGGGATACGGGCTCTTGCTTCCAGTCAAAGACAAACCTCTTGAGCACTGCTAGCAGCTCTGCCAGCAACAGCAGGACGAGCCCTTGACTCACATGCGGATACAGGCGTTAGGGCTCAGCCGCCCGCCCCCTGAGCCTGCGCACACCCCGCCAACCCCACTTCCCTGTCTCAGGAAACGTCATTCAAGCCAGCAACCAGGAGTTGTTCTCAACTCGTCTCCCCTCAGCCCACCTGCTGTATTTTAGTCACCACGCCCCAGCTATGTTCTGATCCCCCCACTTCTCATCTCCTCCACTGCCACCCGCAGGCCAAGCCACCAGGAGGAGCATAACAGCCTCCCCTCCCCCCACAATCCACTCATGGGGTGGCCAGAATGACCGCGTCACTGTGCAGAGCTCAGTCACTCCTCAGCTTAAACCCTTGCATGGCTCCCCACTGTCCTCAGGACAAAGACAAAAATCCTTCTCAGCATGACCTACTCCTTCGGAGAGTCATTCATTCATTCATTCACTCATTCATTCCATTAGCTCAGTAATCTTGTCTGACGTGAATTTGTGGTCTCACGCTCTTTAAACCTGTGTCCTCAGGCTGGCTTACAAACATTGTATTTTTGCCGTATCAGGCTCAAACTCCAATTAAGTAACCCAAAGAACTCCCCTAGAAGAGGCAGAAAGAAACCAGTAGCTTATGGGGACTTCCCTGGTGGTCCGGTGGTTAAGAATCCGCCTTCTGATGCAGGGGACACGGGTTCGATCCCTGGTCAGGGAACTAAGATCCCACATGCCGTGGGGCAACTAAGCCCGCGTGTGTCGCAACCACTGAGCATGCGGGCCACAGCCGGAGAGAATCCCATGCACCTCAGCAGAGGATCTCGCGTGCTGCAAAAAGATCCCGAACACCGCAACTAAGACCGACACAGCCAAAAATAAAATAAATAAATAAATATTAAAGGAAAGAAACCAGTAGCTTATGGGTCTAGAAGCCTTGTTTACAGTGAGATCCTCAGCCAGTGAATGTCCCAAATAAACACCTTCAGATCTGACACCTGCTGTAGGGTGGAGATGCTCTTTCATTCATTATCTTACTTCGGGAGACCCTTTCTTGGGGAAGAGACACTCCCACTGGCCCTACTTGTCCCCTCAACCCTTCTTCACAAAGCAGCCAGAGTGACCTTTTTATAGGTGACTATGGACATGTCACTCCCCAGCTTCAAACCTTCCAAGGTCTTTCCGAAGCACTTAGAATGATACCCAAAGTCGTCACCGGGATCCACTCGGCCCCGAATGACCCGCTCCCTCCCCTTCTCCAACCTTGCCTCCCTTCTCTTTGCCGCTCCAGCCACCATGATCTCTGTTGCACAAGCTCTCTCCAGCCTCTGGCCTTTACACCTGCTGTTCCCTCTGCCAGGAAGGCAGGGAAAACTCAGGTCGCTATGGCCTTCCAGGGCTCAGCTTGAATGTTGCCTTTCCATAGACGTCTTCTGGGACTCCCCAAATCTAAAGTAGCTCCCTATCGGGAACTTCCTGGCGGTCCAGTGGTTAGGACTCCGCGCTTTCACCGCCCAGGGCCCGGATTCGATCCCTGTTTGGGGAACTAAGATCCCATAAGTCGCGTGGCATGGCCAAAAATAACTTTAAAAAAAAAAAAAACAGCTCCTGATCAACCTCTTTCTCAGCACCCTATTTAATGGTCTTCAGCACAGGTAGGGCCATCTGAAGCTGTCCCGTTAGTACATTTCCTGACCGGTTCACCCTCTGCCTCCCCTGCTGGAATGTAAGCGCCATGAGGGCAGGGAATCCGTCTTGCTCACTGTATCCCCAGCACCTAGACCAGTGCCTAGCACATGGTAGGCTCTCAATAAGTATTTGTTGGAAGAGTAAGTAAATGTGGTTTCAGGTGGTCTCGTCTGATAAAGCTGTTTCATGCAGCCATTCAAGAAAGCCTGGTAGGGCTTCCCTGGTGCCGCAGTGGTTGAGAGTCCGCCTGCCGATGCAGGGGACACGGGTTCGTGCCCCGGTCTGGGAAGATCCCACATGCTGCGGAGCGGCTGGGCCCGTGAACCATGGCCGCTGAGCCTGCGCGTAATACTTAACTGAACTAAGACATGCACTCGGAGGGCTGTTTGCCCCTGCAGAAGCATCCCCTCTCTTCACTAGCCTGCGGCTCCAGGCGGCTGAGCTCTGTGGGGGATCTCAACAAGCTCCCTTGTCCTCTAGCTTCTGGCTGGGCTCAGCCAATGGGAAGCGCCTGCACGCGTGGGGAGGGTGGGAAGAGAGAGAGGTGAGGGCATTCACTCCCTGCTCTGTCCGTGCCAGGCTTTGTTTCACTAGTTACTGTGTGCTCCTCTTCTAAAGGCCACATGCCTGTATGACTCTCCCCCTTCCCCTCACAGCTCCCTCCCCCCGCCCCTCTGCTGCCCACCCCAGGATGCTTCTCCATGCTTCTCCATCCCGCATCTCTGTTCCCACGTCTGTAAAATGTCCCTTCTTTAAATCTTTTCAGTCACTCCTTTTGCGTGAGCCTTTGTTGATAAGCAAGAACCCTGGATGATAGGCCCCACGGCCCTGCAATATCACTCCTGGGTATATATCCCTGGGAAATTCACACCCAGGTCCAGGAGAGGACATGAAGAAGCATGGAGATATTCACTGCAGCACTGTCCACAGTTGGGGAGGCAACCTGCGATCCCATCGCTGGGGTCAGAAACAAGTTGGATGTCTATGCTGCTATATGGACAGCTCTTAAAAACTGCTTAATGTCCATCCACAGATGAACGGATAAATCGAATGTGGTCTATACATACCATGGAATATCACTGGGCCTTAAAGAGGAAAGAAATTCTGACACGTGGTACAACATGGATGAACCTGAAGACATTATGCTAATCACATGAGCCAGTCATGAAAGGACAAATACTGCATGTCTCCACTTATATGAGGTCCCAAGGGTAGTCAGATTCATAGAGACCGAAAGTAGAGTGGTGGGTGCCAGGGGCTGGAGGAGGGGAACAGAAGAGTTAATGGTTAATGGGGACAGAGCTTCGGGACAGGATGACAAAACAGTTCCGGAAATGGATAGTGGTGGTGGACGCACAGGATCTTAATGCATTTAATGTGACTGAATTGTACACTTAAAAGTGATTAAAATGGTCTCACAGACAGAGAAAACAATCTTATGGTGAGCAAAGGGGAAGTGGCGGGGACGGATAAATTAGGAGTTTGGGATTAATAGATACAAACTACTGTATATAAAATAGATGAACAACAAGGACCTACTGTACAGCACAGGGAACTATATTCAATATCTTGTAATAACCTATAATGGAAAATAATCTGAAAATGAATATATATATTTGTATAACTGAATCGTTTTGCTGTATACCTGAAACTAATACAACATTATAAATCAACTGTACTACAATTTCTTTATTATTATTTTTCTTTTTTGGCTGCGCCACACGGCATACAGGATCTTAGTTCCCCGACCAGGGATCAAACCTGCAGCCCCTGCGTTGGAAGTGTGGAGTCTTAACCACTGGACCACTGGGGAAGTCCAACTATACTTCAATTTTTAAAAAAATAATTAAGGGCTTCCCTGGTGGCACAGTGGTTGTGAGTCCGCCTGCCGATGCAGGGGACACGGGTTCGTGCCCCGGTCCAGGAGGATCCCACATGCTGCGGAGCAGCTGGGCCTGTGAGCCATGGCCGCTGGGCCTGCGCGTCCGGAGCCTGTGCTCCGCAACGGGAGAGGCCACGACGGTGAGGGGCCCGCGTACCGCAAAAAAAAAAAAAATTAAAATGGTAAATTTTATGTTAGGTATGATTAAAATAAAAAATACTAAAAAAAAAAAAAAAGATCATTCAAACTCAGTTCTCAAAGCCCAAAGCATCTGACCATATATCGGCTAAAGCTATGCTGTCCAATACAGTGGCCACATGCCTTTTGAGCCCTTGAAACAAAACGAGTCTTTTTTTTTCTAAATTAATTAATTAATTTTATTTATTTTTGGCTGCGTTGGGTCTTCATTGCTGTGCACGAGCTTTCTCTAGTTGCGGTGAGCGGGGGCTACTCTCTGTTGCGGTGCACAGGCTTCTCATTGTGGTGGCTTCTCTTGTTGTGGAGCACGGGCTCTAGGGCGCGCGGGCTTCACTAGTTGTGGCACACGGGCTTAGCTGCTCCGCGGCATATGGGATCTTCCCAGACCAGGGCTCGAACCCGTGGCCCCTGCATTGGCAGGCGGATTCTTAACCACTGTGCCACCAGAGAAGCCCCATAACGAGTCTTTAACTGAAATGTGCTGTCAGTGTAAAATACACATCAGATTTCAAGGGCTTACTATTTTAAAAAAAGAATGTAAAATATCTCATTAATAATGTTTTATAGTGATCACACGTTGAAATGATAATATTTTGGATGTGTTGGGTTAGTAGAATATATTATTAAAATTTAAAAAAGAGTTCCTGAGGGAATTCCCTGGCAGTCCAGTGGTTAGGACTCTGCGCTTCCACTGCAAGGGGCACGGGTTCCATCCCTGGTCGGGGTACTAAGATCCCGCATGCCACGGTACAGCCAAAAATTTTTTTAAATATATATTTCTTTTTCTAAAAAAAAAGGGTGCCTGATAAAAAAGAAAACAACAACAGTGCTTAGTGAAGAAAAAAAAAAACAATACGAGGAAACAGAATGAAGTGTTAAACAAAATATCAGTTACTATTGAAAATACATCCACAAAAGACAATATACAATTTTTAGAACATGGTAAATAAATACCCATAGGAGACTGGCTGAGGGGGAGGGGAGCTGGGAAGCAGAATGGGAATGGGGGATGGGGATAAAGAGGGAACAAATAAAACCAAGAAGAAAGGGGTCTTACGCTCACAGCGAGGTGCATTGTGCCATGAGCTGAGACTCACTAATGCAACCCTATGTTCCTGAGATCCAAAAAGAGAAAAATAAAAATAAAAATTTCTCCTCTCTCTTGAAACAAAGGCATCTTAATTAAACCTGCCCTGGAAGGTAACTCAGAATCTCTGATCCCTCAAAATTATTTCCCTGTGAAGTTGGAGTCCACGAAGTCCTTGCAAAATAGGTCACTGCAGCACCCCCAGCTTAAGCACCACACCTGGTGCACAATATAGACTCAGTGAGGGTTTGTTGACTGACTAATGACCGAATGAATGGAAGAAAACAAGGTCCCCTCAGCCCTCCCTGAGAGGCAGGAATAATGGAGCAAGAGCCAGATGGTGGCCTAGGACCTGATACAGCCTGCGATGGTGGGTCGTTTGGATCGTAGTCTTTATTTTTAATCTTAAATTATTTGCCAGCATTTGGAAATCAGATTCCATGAACAAATCCGGCTTCTCGGCTTCACTCAAGAAGCGGAAGCTCTGGTAACATGTTATTCCTAGGCCAGACAGAACTGAGGGGCAACTGTCCCCTACCCCACCCCACAGCCCCATCACTCATCCACATTAAGTGCTTGGCCCCCGTAGGCTTTCTAGTTTGAGATCCCTGATCGAGGCTGTTTCTCACTTTCGATCCAAAAGACCAGGAGCTGATAAACTGTCACCAGGCCGGACATTCTCAAAGCAACCAAGGCAAACCAGCTGCTCCCTTCAGCCTGGGGTGGAGGAAAGGTGTGCCTAATTGTGCTGACATCTATCTGTAGACAGAAAAGGCACATCTCAAGGTGTGGTCCAAGGGTTCCCCACATCAGAACTGTCTGGGAATTTAGTAAAAATCCAGATTTCTGGGCCTCATCCTAGAACCGATGACTTGATATCTGAGAATCTGAATTTTAACTAGTGTCCCACACCCATGGTTTGAGGCACAGCAAGCAAAGAAACAAGGGATTAACAATGGTGTGTGAACACGAAGGGGGTATTCAGAGGACACTGCATTATGGGTCCCAGCGTTGGGAGACCCAGGGTCCTCCAAAGTTGGTGATGAACTAGCCCCCTTAAACTCCAATCATTATTGTTACTGTGTTTTTCTTGTGGTTGTAATATTATTATTATTTGGTTTTTGTTATTATATCATAGGGAGGCAGTGGAGTGTAGAATCTGGATTTCCTTGGGTTCAAATCCTGACTTCACTGTTTACTATCTGTGTGACCCTGGGTACGTAACTTTACTTCTTGGTCTTTACTTCCCCATCTGTAAGTTGGGGATTGTAATAGTTCCTACCTCATAGGGTCACTGTGAAGAGTCAATGAATTAAAATATGTTAAATGCTTACGCTACTGCCTGGCAGATATTATAATACACCGGCAATGAGTTTTCATAGCAGCTGCAAGACCACCACCAGGAGAGCAGGACCTCCCCCTCTCACCCCAACTCCTTCCTTTAGTGATTATTTAGTGGCAACAGGGGGCAGCCAGGTGACTTACAGCTTCCTTATGATTGTCTCCTCTTTGTTACTGCTGGCATTGCTGGCCCTGGTAACCAGAGCATCTTTTTCTCTTCTTCCTCCTGGGCCTTCTCTTGCTGGGATCAGGCCACTAGGAAAAAGGAGACAAATAAGTGGGTTGTTTTATTGTAGATCTCTTATCTGTGCAGCTCTGAAAGTGAAGGTGCTTAATAATTATTATTATATTAATAATATTATCATTGAAATGTTACAGTTAGACATTCTGACTCAGATGATTAGAATCTTCCTTCCACCTTTCCACTGTTGACACCTCTTCTTTCTTTCCCTTGGCTAATTCCATTGGCTGGTACTTTAAGCTTCTCCAATTGCTAGAAATATAACCATGTATAAATCCTCTAACTTAACCCTTGATTTCCTAATTAGTAAAATAAGGATAATGAAAGTACCTAATTCCTAGGATTGAGGGATTAAGCGAGATAATAAATGGAATTCATTCATTCATTCAACAAATATTATTAAGCTACAAATTGTACCAATGTATATAGATATAGCAATTAACAAAATAGATAAAATACCTTCTCTCATGCAATTTATATCCCATTGGGAAAGGAAACAGTCAAGAAACAAATAAATAAGTAAAATTTAAAAATATATAGTAAGTCAGATGGTGATAAGACCTAGATTGATATTGATCAATAAGATATTTAGGTCAGGTGACCCAAAGAGGGCCAGAGTACTTCCCTGGATTTGATGTACAGAAGTTGGAAGAAGGCTATTCTCTCTCACTTGCTGATTGCCAGCAGCCATGCTTCCTAAGATTCAGAGGAGGACTGTCTTTAATACAAAATAATAAGGCCAATAAAGAGAAGCAAAGAGGAAAGAAGGAGGCACACAGTCCCTGATTCCAACACTGAGGCCTTAGTTGCAGTTTTTTCTTTATTTCTGAGACCAGTTCCAGGATCCTTCCCAGCTATGTGACTGATAAAACTCCCTTTTGTGCTTAAGCTAGTTGGAATTGGATCTCTGTCACCTGCAACCAAAAGAAGCCTGACCACGGTGAAGCATTTAAATGTCTGACCCAGGGACTTCCTTGGTGGTCCGGTGGTTAAGAATCCGCCTTCCATGGGACTTCCCGGGTGGCGGAGTGGTTAAGAATCTGCCTGCCAATGCAGGGGACACGGGTTCAAGCCCTGGTCTGGGAAGATCCCACATGCCGTGGATCAACCAAGCCCCTGCACCACAACCACTGAGCCTGCACTCTGGAGCCTGCAAGCCACAACTACTGAGCCCCCGTGCCACAGTTACTGAAGCTCAGGCGCCTGGAGCCCGTGCTCCGCAAGAGAAGCCACCGCAATGAGAAGCCTGTGCACTGCAATGAAGAGTAGCCCCTGCTCGCCACAACTAGAGAAAGCCCGCATGCAGCAACGAAGACCCAACACAGCCATAGATAAATAAATAAATAATTTTTTAAATATTAAAAAATAATCTGCCTTCCAATGCAGGGGATGCAAGTTCGATCCCTGGTCGGGGAACTAAGATCCCACATGCCGTGGGGCAACTAAGCCAGGGCGCCACAACTAGAGAGCCCACATGCTGCAACTAAGACCTGATGCAGCCACATAAATAAATAAATAAATATTAAAAAAAAAAAAAGTCTGACCCAGTAAGCTCATTAGATCCACTTAGGTATTTTGTTGTGGTACCTACTGGTAAATTTATGTCCATGCTATAGGCATCAATTTTCCCCTTACTACAGACTGAATTCATATGTTGAAGCCCTAACCCTTAATGTTATGGTATTTGAAGATGGGACCTTTGGAAGACAATTAGGTTTACATGAGGTCATGAGGGTGGGCCCTCATGATGGGATTAGTGCCCTTGTAAGAAGAGACACCAGACGGCTTGCTCTCTCATTCTCCCCACCATTTGAGGACACAGCAAGAAGGCAGCTGTCTACAAGCCAGGAAGAGCCAGAACCAACCATACTGGCACCTTGACCTTGGACTTCTAGCCTCCAGAACTGTGAGAAAAAAAATTTCTATTGTTTAAGCCACCCAGTCTCTGGTGTTTTGTTATGGCAGCTTGAGCTGACTGAGATACCCCTTTAGGTATGAATGTCAGATAGCAGAATTTACCCCTCTCTCTCTTTCTTTGCAAAGAGTGGGCTCTTATTACTTAATATTATTTCTATTTTTATTATATATATTTATTATAATAATATTCATATGAGAATCATCTAAAAATTACCTTTTCCCACTATCTACCATTACATAACACCCTAAAACTTAGTGATTTAAAACTATGATGATTTATGACTTCTCATGATGGCTCTGTTTCTTATGGTTCATTTGGTGGTTCTCCTGATGGTCTAGTTTGGGGTTCTCAACTGGCTGCATTCAGTTGGAGGATCAGCTGGGGGCTGGATGCAGCTGGGGCTGTCATATGGGGCACCTTGGTTCTTCTTCATGTGACCTCTCCATGTGACTACCTTGAGCTTCCTCATAGCATGGTGGTCTCAAGGCAGCAATCTGAGAGCACAAACATGGAAGCTGCTAGGCCTTTTAGAGCCTTAACCTAGGAAGCCAAACAGCATCACTTCTACCACATTCGATTGGTCAGAGCAAGTCATAGGGCCGTCCAGATTCAAGGGGACGGAAAATAGACTCTACCTCTACTTCGATGAGAGGAGTGGAAAAATTTCATTGGAAAAGGAATGCAGGGGGACTTCCCTTGTGGCACAGTGGTTAAGAATCCGCCTGCCAAAGTAGGGAACACGGGTTCGAGCCCTGGTCCGGGAAGATCCCATATGCCGCGGAGCTACTAACCCTGTGTGCCACAACTATTGAGCCAGCGCTCTAGAGCTTGTGCGCCACAGCTGCTGAGCCCGTGTGCCGCAACTACTGAAGCCCGCGCGCCTAGAGCACGTGCTATGCACAAGAGAAGCCACCGCAATAAGAAGCCCGCGCACCGCAATGAAGAGTAGCCCCAGCTCGCTGCAACTAGAGAAAGCCCACGCGCAGCAACAAAGACCCAATGCAGCCAAAAATAAAATAAATAAATAAATAATTAATTAATTAAAAAAGGAATGCAGGATGGGAAAAACCGTTGTGACCATCTTTGGAAACAGTCGACCATCTCTGCTTTCAGTTAAAACTATCATTAGTATGAGCTTCGGCCTCCAAATTGATGCAGTTGCTAAGAGAACACCTCAGTTGACATTCTGGTTTCTCCAGAATATATAACACAGGAGACTAAACAGAATCCTGCTGTCTGTCTATTGGCCTGTACGAGATGGGAAGTGCACATCTGTTGTTCTCTGGGAATTCAAAACTGGAACTAACGTGGGTTGCTTTATTCACTAGCCAGCTGCTCATGGCATCGGCAGTCTAAGAGTTCCTCTTTTTAATTAACCGTGTCTGGAGTACTTATTAAATGAGATGAAGACAGGTCTTTCCATTAACAGCGTTCCAACCTCAGCAGAAGGAAGACAATTAAATTCCTGTTGGCAGAGCTCAGCTCTTTTGGATTTAGCTTCCTAGGACATTTTTACTTTGATGCTCTCTTAATGATGCCACATTGAATGAATTTAAGGAATAATATCATTGGGGCTTTGTTTTGTTTTGAATTAGAGTATTTCCTTACTTCCAAACTTTCCGAGTCCAAATGTGGCATGATAATTAAAAGCTCAGGCTCTAATGTCAGGCTGTCTGACGCCATGTCTCAAGGTTGCCACCACCAGCCCTGGGACTTCAAGCAGGTACTTGACCTCTCTGACCCTTAGATCATCTTGGGGATAACATGACCCTAACTCATAGGCTTGCTGTGAACACTAATTGAAATGATGCTCGGGATACACTTAGCACATGGTAAGCATTGATAAATATTAGTTGGCACTACATTTTGTTTGTTTTGGTTTTTACTTTTTGGCGGCACCCTGAGGTATGTGGGATCTTAGTTCCCCCACCAGGGATCGAATCTGCGCCCCCTGCATTGGGAGCTCGAAGTCTTAACCACTGGACCACCAGGGAAGTCCTGGCACCATGTTTTTATTCTCTTGATCTTTCCTTCTCCTGCCTCTAAGGAAACGTGCTTTGTTTAACTCAGTGTTTCCCAGAATTATTCAACCACAGAGCTCCTTTTTGCCGCGCTGTGTGGCTTGTGGGAACTCAGTTCCCTGACCAGGGATTGAACCCGGGCCACAGCAGTGAAAGCGCCGAATCCTAGCCACTGGACCACCAGGGAACTCCCTAGAGCTCCCTTTTCAAGAAATACCTACATAAAGTAAACTATTTGGGGAAACGTGGTGCAGAAGGATAAAGTGAAGTCCAAACCTGCTATGTCAACAGCTTCCTTACTTCCTCTCTTGCTTGTCCTACAGTTCCTCCTCTACCCAGTATTATTGTGATCTTTTCTAACTTGTAATTTTTATACAATTTTAAACTTAGAGAAAAGGTGTAATCCTAGTACAAAAACTTCCCATATATCTACCCAGATCCCTCAAATGCTTATCCATGTATCTATCTACCTACCCATCCATCCATCCATCCACCTATCCACCTACCCATCCACCCATGCAACCATCTTCTCCCTGAACCACTTGAGAGTATACTGGAGAAAAGAATCTTACCCCTTCACTCCTAAATGCTTAAGTGTCTTTCCAGAGAACAAGGACATTCTCTCACATAACCAAGTCATTCAGTTATCAAAATCACCACATTGATCTTTAAAAATAGTAAATCAGACTGTGTCATTCCCTTAAGATTTCCCAAAATCTTCACATTACGCTTTCAATAAAACTAGAGCTCCTGGGCTTCCCTGGTGGCGCAGTGGTTAAGAATCTGCCTGCCAATGCAAGGGACATAGGTTTGAACCCTGGCCTGGGAAGATTCCATATGCCATGGAGCAACTAAGCCCATGCGCCACAACTACTGAGCCTGAGCTCTAGAGACCACAAGCCACGACTACTGAAGCCTGCGTGCCTAGAGCCCGTGCTCCGCAACAAGAGAAGCCACAACAATGAGAAGCCCATGCACTGCAACGAAGACCCAACACAGCCAAAAATAAATAAATTTATTTTTTAAAAAAACCCAAAACTAGAGCTCCTTCCTGTGTCCAAAAAGGCCACCCCTCCCTCTCTTCTGGACCGTCCTCTACCTCATATTCCAAGTTCCACCATGGTGGGCCTCTTAAATTGGCCAAATGGGTTCCTACCTCAGGGCCTTTGCGCTTCTTGTTCTACTTTTACGCAACCAAATCTTTACATGGTTGGCTGCTTCTTGTCATTCACCTCAGGGGGGTCTTCCCTGACCACCCAGTCTAAAGCAGGGCCCCCCCAGCACTCTGCTCTCTGTCATGTCACCTTGATCTACATTCTTTTCAGCATTCACCACCATTATCCTGTGTGTTCATTGCAGGCCTTCTGGCTGATTGCCTGTCTTCCCCCTAGACTAGCACGGACTTTCTGTTTTGTTCCTGCTCTACCCCCAGTGCCAGGAATAGTGTCTGGCATATAGTGGGTCTTCAATAAGTAGATTGGATGAACATAAGAACAGATATGTAATATATCAAGGAATTCTAGGCAGTGTCTTGCTCTGCGGTGTAGGAGCCCCAGGCAGCACAGCCCACCTCTTATAGCACTGCAGCTCTTCCTGCACCACCAGCAGCTGCGACTTGAGTTTGTTGCGCTCCTGCAGCACGTCTCTCAGCTCCTGTAGAGTAAAGCGTGGTCGGTTGGGATCTGTCAGGTCAACCACCATTTTGTCTGGTCCCAGGTTCACCTGTAAGAAAAGATATCACTTATACAGTTTCCCTCATGAGGATGGACTGTCCATCCCAGAAAGGAAACTTCTCTTGTTCTGTTACTACTCCCAGGGATCTGATGAGATGAGACGTTGCCTGTTGGAAGTGTTTGGTTGATGGTAAAGAGGCAAGAATTCCAAGTACCATTCTCCAAGAAAGGAGCCAGGGCTCCTTGGAGAATAGCTGAGTCCAGGGCTGGAACAGGGAAAGTCCAAGTTGAGTCTGGAACATTCCACTGTGTAAGGGATGGAGACAGATCAAAAGGACACAGTTTGAAGGCACTCCTACTGGCCAAACTGAACGACTTGAGTATCCGCGTGAATAGTAACAGGAATGGATAATAACCCATCAAATAAAAACAGGATTCAGGAATCCATACTTAAAATTTTTAATTTAGGGAATTCCCTGGTGGTCCAGTGGTTAGGACTCCAAGCTTCCACTGCGAGGGGCATGGGTTCAATCCCTGGTCGGGGAACTAAGATCCCACATGCTGAGTGGCGTGGCCAAAAAAATAAAATAAATAAAAATTTAAATTTAAATTAATTAACTAATTAATGGGGATGTAATGGCTAATCTTATGTGTCAACTTGACTGGGCTAAGGGATGCCCAGACAGCTGGTTAACCCATTATTTCTGGGTGTGACTGTGAAGGTGTTTCTGGAAGAGATTAGCATTTGACTTGGTGACCTGAGTACAGCAGAGGCTCCTCCCCAGTGTGGGTGGGCTTCATCCAATCCATTGAGGGCCTGAATAGAACAAAAAGGTGGAGAGAGGGTGAATTCACTCCCTGCTTGAGCAGGACATCCTTCTTCTCCTGCCCTTGGACAGTGCACATCAACCCTCCTGGTTCTTGGGCTTTTGGACCTAGACCAGGACTTATGCCATCAGCCCCCTGACACAAGCCTTCTGACTTGGACTGAATTACACCACCGGCTTTCCTTATTCTACAGTTTGCAGGCAGCAGATTGTGGGTCTTCTCGGCCTCCATAACCACGTGAGCCGATTCCTATAATAAATATTTTCATCTGTGTCTATATCTACATCCATATCACCTATTGTTCTATTTCTCTGGAGAACTCGGACTAATACCAGAAAGGAGGAGGGGGATCTGTACTTTACAGAAGAATGCCAATTAATAAGTGTAGAAGATGATAGAGTCAGAAAATCATCCTTTTGCAACCAACGCAGTAATAATTGATTCAGGCAAGACTAATGAACGGACCTAAAACTTTTGGGTGAAAGTCTGTTGAGGAACAGGATATTTCACAGTTTCAAAGTACTTTCCCATAGGCTACTTATGCATTACAAAGGGAACAAAGACACCCTTACAGTGCAGAAATCTTGCAGACACCACCTTAACCAAGTGATAGAAGTTACCATCGCCAATAACGACAAACTGAATCAGGTGCCTCCTGATATGAGGCACACTTAAGTGGTATCCCTGCTAAACATGTATAACTTGAATCTAACCATGAGGAGACATCAGAACAAGCCCAAGTTGAAGGACGTTCTACAGACTAACTGATATACAATCTTCAAAAAATGTCAAGGTCATGAAAGACAAGGAAAAGCTGAGGAACTGTTCCAGACTAAAGCTGACTAAAGAGATATGTCCTAAAGGTACCGTATAACCCTGCATTGGATCTTGCATCAGAAAAAAAAAAATGCAATAAAGGATATTATTATGAATTTTGAATAGGGATGGCCTATTAGATCTTAGTATTCTACCAACTTTTCCCCCTGAATTCAATTATTTATTGTGGTTATGTAACAGTATGTCTTAGGAGATACACACTGAAGTATTTAGTACTTAGGGTGAAAGATCCTAATCTTTTACTAACTCTGCAGCTAACATAATGTCTGAAGATTCTGAGCGAATAAATAATATATAGACATAAATATTTGTTAAATATGAGTACATATGTGCATATATACATGTATGTATATGTGTGTATATAATACTTCAGTGTGTATCTCTTAAGACATAGTATACACACACACAAACACATATATACATACACCTGAATATAACACCTGAATTGAGGTGAAGGGTATACAAGTGTTCATTGTACTTATCTTGCAACTCTTCCATAGGTTTGACATTTTTTTCAAGCTAAAGTTAAAATAAAGCAAATATTTGAAAACAACCTAAATGTCCATTAGCAGAAGTCTAGTTAAACAAACTAAGGCACAACCACACTCTGGAATATTCTACAGGTGACAAAGAGAATAAGCCACACTATAAGGAGAAATGCAGTAGTGACCACATTCCTCCTCTCGGATTGATAAACATCAGCGTGTTTGAAAACACACTGTGTTGTAAAAGCTGTGGGGAAACCAGTTCCTTCACCGATTGCAGAGGGAGCCAATCTCTTTAACCCCTTTGGAGTGCAACTTGACAATACTTATTAAACCTTCCAATGTAGGGGACTTCCCTTCCCTGGTGGCGCAGTGGTTGAGAATCCGCCTGCCAATGCAGGGGACACGGGTTCGAGCCCTGGTCCGGGATGATCCCACTTGCCGCGGAGCAACTGAGCCTGTGCGCCACAGATACTGAGCCTGCGCTGTAGAGCCCGCGAGCTGCAACTGCTGAAGCCCACACACCTAGAGCCCGTGCTCCGCAACAAGAGAAGCCACCACAATAAGAAGCCCGAGCTCTTTGGTCTCGGAGGCAGAAGCGAGATGACGAAGGGAACGTCCTCGTTTGGAAAGCGTCGGAATAAGACGCACACGTTGTGCCGCCGCTGTGGCTCTAAGGCCTACCACCTTCAGAAGTCGACCTGTGGTAAATGTGGCTACGCTGCCAAGCGGAAGAGGAAGTATAACTGGAGTGCTAAAGCTAAAAGACGAAATACCACCGGGACTGGTCGAATGAGGCACCTAAAAATTGTATACCGCAGATTCAGGCATGGATTCCGTGAAGAAACAACACCTAAACCCAAGAGGGCAGCTGTTGCAGCATCCAGTTCACCTTAAGGGTTTCAATTATTAGTCACGCAATAAATGTTCTGGTTTTGAAAAAAAATAAAAAAAATAAGAAGCCCGTGCACCACAACCAAGAGTAGCCCCCACTCGCCTTAACTAGAGAAAGCCCACACACAGCAATGAAGACCCAATGCAGCCATTAATTAATTAATTAAAAAAAAAAACAACTTCCAATGTGGCTTTCCTTTGACCCAGTGAATCCACTTCCCCTAGATACTGAGGGGGCCAACTGCTATAGGTCAGAGTAATTCACTGTTGCATGGGGTCGGAGCAAACGATTGGAAAATGAAGGTCTTTTGATAGGAAACTTGTTAAAGCAGAGATTCTGAACCTTTTTTTTTTTGTGCCGTGGACCCTTACGGCAGCCTGGTAAAGCCCACGTGGATTTCATCTCAAAATACTGATTTTAAATGTATAAAAGGCATAGAATTACAAGAAAACCAACTAAGATAACACACTCATCAAAATCTTCTAAAAATAAATTTGTGATTCCTAGACCTGCTTCTTTATTAAATAACACGATGTAGCCACAGGTCTAATAAGATACAGAAGGAAAACAAAGTTTTGAGTTCTGCACTACACTGTAATGGGATATGAAAACATCTGTGATTTCCACTGGTGATTGTCACAGGTACTGCTAATATTACTGTGGTTTGTTGTTATATTTCAGATGGAGGTTGGTGAAAATAAAAATACAATTTCTTCTCATGCAAGTTCATAGATTTTGCGGATTAGAATCATGGTCCTCTTGGGGGGTTCCAAAAACTCCAAGTTAAGAACCCTCACGTTGAGCAATTGATAACACTGTACAGTGGAAGTTTTCAAAAGCCATTAAAAGGTGAGGAAGCTCTTTATATTCTGATTTAGTACAACTTTCATGCCATGTTAAGTGAAAATAAGCAAGAGGCAGAACGGGGTATATATTATAATACCATTTGTGTGAATAATGGAAAAATATATTCATATCTGCTTGTGTTTGCACAAAGTATCTCTGGGTACTTTAAGAAACTGATCATTTTAATTTTTTCTAGGGAGGGTAAGTGGTGGCTAGGGGTGGAGAGAGATGGGGAGGGAGCTTTTCCAAGGCAAACACTTTTGTAACACTTGAATTTTGAACTTAAATTTTTAAAAAAGAAAGGAAACAAACTATTCTCATACCCATTGTGATGGCTACTGTAATCAAACAAACAAATCAGAAAGTAAGTGTTGGCAAGGATGTGGAAAAATTGGAACGCTTGTGCATTGCTGGTAGGAATGTAAAATGGTGTGGTCACTATGAAAAACTGAATGGCAGATCCTTTAAAAATTAAAAATAGAATTATCATGTGATGCAGCAATTCCACTTTTGGGTATATACCCCAAAGTCTTGAAAGCAGGGACTTAAAGAGAGATTTATGGATCCACGTTCATAGCAAAATTATTCACACAAATCAAGAGGTGGAAGCAACCCAAGTGTCCATCAACAGACAGATAAACAAACTGTGGTGGATCCATACAATGGAATAGTATTCAGCCTTAGAAAGGAAGGAAATTCTGACACATGCCACAACATGGAAGAACCTTGAGGACATTAAGTGAAATAAGCCAGTGGCAAAAGGACAAAGATTATCCGACTCTGCTTATATGAAGTACCTAGAATAGGTAAATCCATATAGACAGAAAGTAGAACAGTAGTTACCAGAGGCTGGAGGGAGAGGGGGCATTTGGAGTTAGTGTTTAGTGGGTACAGAGTTTCAGTTTCGTTTCGCAAGACAGGAGTTTTGGAGAGGATGGTGGTGATGGTTGCATAATAATGGCTGTGAATGTACTTAAGGCCACTGAACTCTGCACTTAAAAAGATGGTAACTTTTATGTCTACCACAACTAAAAATGGTAACTAAAAAAAACAAGAAAGAAAGAAACACTAGGGCATATTTTTATAAACTGTCTAGTGACACTAAATATTCATTTTCTCTGCCTTTTGCCCCACCCCTGTTCTTAAGACTACAGTTTGGGAGGAAAACATGCCAGCTCATCCGCTGGCTGACAAGCTTGTCCGCTATGCCCCAGACAGGAAATGACCCGGCCCCCGTGCAGACCACACTGTTCATGGTCCATGATGGGGCTTCCTCCATATCCTTGTGCCTGGAGCTGGAGGTGACAGGAAAAGAGCACAGAATGTGAGCTGAGGGATCTTAGGCAAGTCATTTAACTGCTCTTGAATCTCAAAAGTCAGGCTACTAATCATGACACTCAACCATCTCATATGACGGATACTAAAGAAGAACCTTATCTACAAATATAATTGTCACCGTGAGCAATGAGTAGGTGAAATAAAAGAGTACCAAGGAAGCTACCAGAAACCTTCACTCTTCCCTATGAGTTTCAGCCACCCAGTTCCTACTGTCCTTTCATGGCATACTTCTCAGTTTGTAATCCTGTAGTCTAGTTTCGGAGGTCTGTGTGTCTTGCCTCTCCCACTAGATGTGAAGCTCCGTGAAGGCAGGGACCTTGTCTAATTTAGTGCCATAGCTCCAGAGCCCACACAGTGCAGTCACTCATCAAATGTTACTACAAGAAAGGTCATAGGTCTGTATTTTAGTACCGTGTGGTTATGACTAGCATCTCTGAGCTCAAATCCTGCCTCCACCTCTTACTTGTTAAGTCCTCAGGCAAATTACTTAACTGTTCTATGCCTCCATTTCTGTAAAATGGGAATAATAATAGTATGAGGATTAAATGGGATAATCCCCTTGGGGCAGTTTTTTTTTTTTTTTTAACTATAGCTGGAAATTCACTAGTGAGTCATGATATTAATTCAGTGAGTTGCAAAATAATTTAAAAATTCATAAAAATAGAATAGGAAAGTATGACTGTACATCATGTTTAGTAAGGGAGAGTTAGGGTAAACTGTTGAAACTTCTGTTTCATCAATACTGGATATCAACGTAAAATGTAATTTTGTAAAATGGGGGTATAACATATATACAGAAAAATGCACTAATCTTGAGTTTATAGCTTGACAATTTTTACCATATGTGTACACCCATGTAACCACACCTGGATTAATTCTCTATAAATGTCCCTCCTGCCCCCCCCCCCCATTCTCCCATCCCAGGGCTACCATCAACCTGTCTTCTATAAGTAAAGATTAGTTTGCCTGTTCTTGAATTCCACGTGCAGGACGCTCTCTTTTGTACCTGGCTTCTGTCTCTCAATGTAGTATCTGTAGGATTCATCCATACAGTTGTGTGTATCACTACTCTGCTCTTTTTCATTGTTGTGTAGTATCCCATTATATGAATGCACCACAATTTAAAAAATGTATTCCTCTTTTCCATTTAGATTGTTTCCAGTTTGGCACAATTATGAATAAAGCTGCTCCGATTTTTTTTTTTTTTCGGTACGCGGGCCTCCCACTGCCGTGGCCTCCCCCGCTGCGGAGCACAGGCTCTGGACGGGCAGGCCCAGAGGCCATGGCTCACGGGCCCAGCCGCTCCGCAGCACGTGGGACCCTCCCGGACCGAGGCACGAACCCGCGTCCCCCGCATGGGCAGGCGGACTCTCAACCACTGCGCCACCAGGGAAGCCCTCTTTTTTTTTTTTTTTAATTAATTAATTAATTTTTGGCTGAGTTAGGTCTTTGTTGCTGTGCGGGCTTTCTCGAGTTGCGGTGAGTGCGGGCTACTCTTCGTTGCGGTGCGCGGGCTTCTCATTGCGGTGTCTTCTCTTGTTGCGGAGCACGGGCTCTAGGCGTGCGGGCTTCAGCAGTTGTGGCTCACAGGCTCTAGAGCGCAGACTCAGTAGTTGTGGCGCACGGGCTTAGTTGCTCCGTGGCATGTGGGATCTTCCTGGACCAGGGCTCGAACCCGTGTCCCCTGCATTGGCAGGCGGATTCTTAATCACTGCGCCACCAGGGAAGCCCTGAATATTCTTATATGTATCTTTTTGTGGTCATAAGTACTAATTTCTCTTTAGTTAAAAAGCATTTCTTACTCTAGGTCAAAGTTTCTCAAAGTGTGAAACCTGGACCAAGAGAATCAGCATCATCTTGGAACTTGTGAGAAATGCAGAGTCTCAGGTCCCATTGCAGACCTACTGAGTCAGAAACTCTGCAGCTGGGGCCGGGCAATCTGTGTTTTAACGAACACTCAAGGTGATTTTGATGGCTGCTAAAGCTTGAGAACCACTGCTCAAGGTCCTGGTCAAAAATGCAGGAAGCCGCTGCTTTAGAACACACTCGGCACAGGGGCCAGCACCGAGCAAGTGCTCGATTAATGTTAACCATCTTAACGCTTCTAATCTGAGGACTGCATACTCGTAGTGATTTGTTTTGAGGGGCTTGGATGTTCAAGAGAAGAAAGCGTCCCCCCGCCAGTGGCCGCTCCCAGCACTCACCTCCCTGCCGGCCGCCGAGCTCTCTCTCCGCAGCCCCTCCACCTCCTTCCGGAGGTTGTCCCGCTCCATTCTTAGCTCCTCCACCGTCAGGCTGCCCTCATTGACCAGCGCCTCCAGCATCTCCAGGACGCGGACGATCTTGAACTGCAGCTGTGTCACCCGGGGGTCGCTGCCCAGGGCCATCAGCTCGCGGCCCATCACGTAGGAGATGTCATATACGTCCTCGGCGGTCAGCTGGAAGGGGCTCTTGCCCAGGGCCCCCTCGGGCCCAGCCTCGTCCCCCTCCTCCTCTTCCTCCTCTCGCAAAGGGGGCTCCTCCATGGCCGCCCAGACCCCCGCAGCCTCCGGAGCTGCTGCTTTCTCGGAGTCTCCAAATGTCCAGCTTCCTCCCGGCACGGAAAACTTTCCGCGGGTCAGTGGACCCTGCCTGTTCAGGGCGGGGCAGGAGCAGCCAATCAGCGCAGCCGAGAGGTGGGCCCGGAGAGGGGCTGTAGGAGGAGGCCACGCAGGGCAGATCTCTGGCCAGGACTCCCGGTGCACCGTCCCAGCGGAGGCCCGTGCTGGAGTGTGGCCTCCAGGTTGTGGTTGGGGCACGAAAGGACAAGGGACAGGGAGGGCCGCCGCGAAGAGGAACAGAGAGGTTAAGGGGTGACAGTGATCGCTCCCAGCCCGAGAGCTGTTGCAGACGGGGAGGGGCAGCGACCCCAGCTCCGCCCTTGGTGACAGCCACCGCAGAAGCCGGGTGTCCACGGAGACAGGGGCGGAGTTTCCACCGCATTCTGGGAAGGAGGCTAAAAAGCACACAACTCTTTCCTTTCTGCACTCAGGTGTTCCAGCCATAGAATTTGCATGGTACGGGGAGGCAGATCCGGTCTCTGAGAATATTTCCTGAAGCGTGCGGCAAAGCAGAAAACAGCAGTTGGTGGCAGCGCGCGGGAGTCTATTGGTCTGTGTTGCGCAGAGCTTCCAGGCCTATGGTCACCGGGACCGGCGGCATCTGACCCTCAGTTAAATGGAGATTCCCTGCGCTATGCACCTGGCTCTATCCTGGGTTCCTCCACTTGACCAGCGTGTGGCCTTTGCAAGTTACTTAAGTCCTCCGAGCCTCACTTTACTCCTGGGTAAATAACCGTACCTACGGAGTAGGGTCGTTGTGAGGAATATATGAGATCATGAGACAATGACTGTGACAAAAAGCGCTTAGGAAAGGCTCAAAAAATATTAGCGGGTATTCTGGATTCTTCCCTCCAACAAACACTAAGCTTGTGTGCCAGGAGCTTGGCACTTGGGTTGGGAAGGGAGGAGTAATAGATAAGACAAAAATCACCGCTTCGAAATTAGAAAACATTCTGCAGCTACACAGGGTATGACTGAGAATATTAGCAGTGTGGATTACAAAACGGGTTATTTTAGATTTAATTCAGGGTTTGTAATAGTCATAGGCAGACAATCCAGCAATGGAGCTTGTCTTTCCCAGGAACGTATTGGCAGTTTTCTTCGTGGTAGGTGTACCAGATTTTCTCCACAGTGAAGCTGTGGAGTCAAAATGGAGAGTGGACAAGGATAAAACAAACAAACAAAAAGCAAACAAACAAAACAGACACTAATTTCAGATGGTACAATGGTACAATGTTTTAATGATCAAACAAGGCCCCGGGCAAGGGCTCAGTAATCCATTAGTCACAGACCTGACGACACCCTGTGATTAAATATGGAGAAATATTAGGCTTACCATAAGTATAATATGGCATATCCATACAATGGACTATTATTCACTCATAAAAAGGAATGAAGGAATAGAGGGTCCAGAAAGAAACTCTCACAAACATGGTCAAATTATTTTCAACAAGGGTGCCAAGACTGTTCATTGGGGAAAGGATAGTTTTTTCAACAAATGGTGTTGGGAAAATTGGATACCCACATGCAAAAGTGTGACGTACCTTACCTTACACCATATACAAAAATTAACTCAGAATGGATCAAAGGCCTAAAGCTACAAAACTCTAAGAAAACATAGTGGAAAAGCTTTATGTCAATGGATTTGGCAATGAGTTTTTAAAAAACACAGAAAAAGAAACAAAAGAAAAAATAGATAAACTGGACTACATTGATGAAATAAAATTTATATTTTAAGGCAGGACAAGAAAATGTAAACATAAAATTCTCTCTCTGTACATTTGGGCCTCCTCCCTCCCTCTCTCATGTGCAATGTACATTTGCATTGTACATTAACCAGACCTCCTCAAAGGTGGGAATGCCTGCTTGACCACAAAGGTCAACTTTTTTTCCCCTTTCTTCTGATGCTAGCAATGTAACCGCTTAAAAGATTAGCACTCTTTCCAAACTCTGTAGGGAGTCATGGTGACTTAATTGCTTGCTTACCTGGACTCTGTATCTTTGGTGAAGTTTATGTAAAATGTCTGTATGTCATTTTGATGTATGATCCTTTGTCTCAAAAAGGCTTATGACTGTGTCTTTGACTTCTAATAGGCAGAACAGTTCTCAGAGCTTCTGAGAGTCTGTCTCTTGGGTTATAATCCTCAGTTTGACTTAAGTAAAATTATCTTTTGGGACTTCCTTGGTGGTCCAGTGGTAAAGAATCCACCTTCCAATGCAGGGGACGTGGGTTCGATTCCTGGTCGGGGAACTGAGCCCGCGCGCCACAGCTATTGAGCTCGCGCGCCTCAACGAGAGAGCCCGCGTGCCGGAAACTACAGAGCTCACGCGCTCTGGAGCCGGAGCACCACAACTAGAGAGAGAAAACCCGCACACCACAACTAGAGAGAAGCCTGTGCACTGCAACAAAAGCTCCCGCATGCCTCAGCGAAGATCCCATGTGCCACAACTAAGACCCGATGCAGCCAAAAAAGTAAAAAATAAATAAATTAGGGACTTCCTTGGTGGCGCAGTGGTTAAGAATCCGCCTGCCAATGCAGGAGACACGGGTTTGAGCCCTGGTCGGGGAAGATCCCATATGCCGCGGAGCAACTAAGCCACAACTACTGAGCCTGCGCTCTAGAGCCCATAAGCCACAACTACTGAGCCCGCGAGCCACAACTACTGAAGCCTGCGTGCCTAGAGCCTGTGCTCCGCAACAAGAGAAGCCGCCGAAATGAGAAGCCCACGCACTGCGACGAAGAGTAGCCTCTGCTCACCGCAACTAGAGAAAGCCCGCGCACAGCAACGAAGACCCAACAAAACCAAAAAAAAAAAAAAAAAAAAAAAAAAAATCTCGCAGCTGCAACCAAGACCCGATGCAGCCAAAAATAAATAAATAAATAAATACTAACAAAAAATCAATCTATGTAATCCACCATATTAACAGGCTGCAGAATCCACAAAAAAACTACTAGAGCTAATAAATGAGCTCAAGGTTGCAGCATACAAGAGCAATATAAAATATCAATTGCATTTCTTTTTCTTTTTGGCCACACTTTATGGCATGTGGGATCTTAGTTTCCCAACCAGGGATCAAACCTGCGTCCCCTGCAGTGGAAGTGCAGAGTCTTAACCACTGGACTGCCAGGGAAGTCCCTGCAGAGCAGAAATTGAGACACAGACGTAGAGAACAAACGTATGGACACCAGGGGGGGAAAGCGGCGTGGGGGTGGGGGTGGTGTGATGAATTGGGCGATTGGGATTGACATGGATACACTGATGTGTATAAAATGGATGACTAATAAGAACCTACAGTATAAAAAAATAAGAAGAAGAAGAAAAAAAATAAATAAAATGAAAAATAGAATTATCATATGATCCAGCAATACCACTTTGGGGTACATATCCAAAAGAATTGAAAGCAGGGTGTCAAAGAGATATTTGCACACTCATGTTCATAGTAGCATTATTCACAATAGCCAAAAGGTGGAAGTTACCCAAATGTCCGTCCACAGATGAATGGATAAAAAAAATGTGGTGTATACATACAATGGAATATTAATCAGCCTTAAAAAGGAAGGAAATTCTGACACATGCCACAACATCGATGAACCTTTAGAACATTATGCTAAGTGAAATTAAGCCAGTCACCAAAAGATAAATACTATATGATTTCACTTATATGAGATATCTAGTGTACAAACTCATAGGAACAGAAAGTAGAATGGTGGTTGCCAGGGGCTGGGGGGAGGGGGGAATGGAGGGTTGTTGTTTAGTGGGTATAGAGTATCAGTTCTGTAGGGTGAAAAAGTTTTGGAGTTTGGTTGCACAACAATATGAATGTACTTAACACTACTGAACTGTACACTTAAAAATGGTTAAGGTTGTAAAATAAATTTTATCTTATGTGTACTTTACCAGTTTTCCTTCTTTTAACATGTGAGGAAACTCTATGGGGTGATGAAAATGTGCTACATCTTGAGCTTGGTGAAGGTCACATGAGTACATACATAGGTGAAATATTGCGGAACTGTATGCTTAACACTGTATTTCCTTTAGGTAAATTATACCTCAATAAAGTGCTGGTAAGGAGATAAGGAATGAAGCACTGACAGATGCTACAATGTGGATGAATCTTGAAAACATTTTACTGAGTGAAAGAAGCCAGCCACAAAGGCCACCTATTGTATGAGTCCATTTATATGAAATGTGCACAACAGCATATCCAGAGAGATAGAAAGTAGATTAGTGGTTGTCTAGAGCTGGGGGAGGGGGAGGGGGAGTACGTGCTAATGCAGACAGGGCTTCTTTTTGGGGTGATGAAAATGTTCTAAAATTAGATTGTGGTGATGGTTGCACAACTCTGTGAATAGACTAAAAACCACCGAACATTGTTGGAATGTAGCCTTCGCAGAGCAATGCTTATCAGAAAGAATTTAATGTTGCTGCATTTATTTTTTACCATCAGGATCCCCAGCCACCACTGCTGGTATGAATCTCTTCTGCACCACTGTCCTTTTCAAAAGTTCCTTCTGCCTTGAAATTTCTCTAGAAATTGATCCTCTAAGGCACCATATCTTCCTTCCTTCTTTGTTACACAGTGAAACCTGGTAAATCGCACTTTAAAAAAGTCAAAGTGTCTTCCATTGAGTAACTAGGATTTTGATATAAAAAAAAAAGATTCTTTTGTTCATTCATTTGACAACTTATTTACTGAGCGCCTACTATGTGCCAGGACTGTAAAGTAGTTTTGACTTGAACCTCACAATTGTTACTTCCTGGTACATAAATTTGATCAAATTCTCTAATCTCCAAATCCCCATTTCCTACAGTCAACTTGGAAAAATAAAAGTATTCCCCAAAACTGGTGTGAGGATTAGACGAGATAATTTGTGAAAAGTGCCTCATCCAGTGTCCAGCACATCATAAGCATCAATGGACACTGGTTGTTATTATCAAGTGTTAATGATCTTAACTCTTAGATCCCTCATAGAACTGGACAATCTGTTGGTAGATAATCATGACCCTTCTCTCTCCGTTGGGAAATTATGAAAACAATTCTGAATTACAGCTGTTAAAAAACAAAATTCGGGACTTCCCTGGTGGTCCAGTGGGTAAGACTCCATGCTCCCAGTGCAGGGGGCCTGGATTCGATCCCTGGTCGGGGAACTAGATCCCGCATGCATGCCGCAAGTAAGAAGTCTGCATGCCGCAACTAAAGATCCCGCATGCCACAATG